GAAGAAAACAAACGTTAAACCATCTAATGGAAGAATGATCAGAGATAGCCTGCGACATCCTTGAACTTTGCAAGACTGGACAGCGGAGGTGAATGAGTAGAATTTGGAAAGACAGTAGTTTGACTTGGCTTAGAAAAGAAAACAACCTGAACACCGTTAAAGAATCATATTTGCCAACACGTGCGTTTTTCCTGTAGGTTCAATCGTTGTTCTATGTATGGACAAACGGAGATGTAACCAGATAGGTAAGGCTCTCTCATTGAGCCAAGATAAACAGAATAAAAGTGAAAACAACTTGGAAAGATGATATCGATTCTGTGATAAATATATGCCGAAAAGCATCATTAAATATAATCGACAACCGTCATCTATTCTATGATTCTCTGTTCATATCTTTCACAACGAACTAGTATAAAACTAAATATTTTGTTCCCTTTATGAGAGTTCCATCAACACAACTGGAGAATCCTATAGCATGTTCTACTCAACGTCTCCTGGCTCCATCGCTGAACAAGTATTGCGATCATCGGATCGTCTCAGCGTCTCCTTGAGCGATCGAAGTTCAGTGCAACCCAATTTATTATTCTTGATGGCCATCGATGGTTTCTGAGGGGCAGCACATGGCTGATCCGTAGTCTTTGGCGTGTAGAAAGCAGAACGTGCATGTTTAAATCCAATATATCAACGGGTTATAATGCAAAATGAATAACGATAAATCAAGATATGGACCGATACCGCCCATGCAGAATTTTATACCAATTAAGTCTTAATATAGGTGTGAAATTTTCACGAAATCACGGTAAAAGAAGTAGTTGCCTGAGGCTGACGACCAACAATATAATATGAGTTAAAATTTAAAACTCAGTTCAGGCAGCAGCTTGATCTCAGTGCCCGAGATTTCAGATTTTCGGTTGAGATGTACACGTGAATGCAAATAGGGAATAATGTAACTGCCTAGATCAGTTGAACTCCAGTTTATGTCATATGTCTCGCAAACAAGAACAAAGCGCTGGTATCGCTCGAGGCGTTAGAAATGCGGCTGCATAGAGATTTATATCTGTGAAATGAGTGCCGAATAAAATATTCGTGAATACAAAAACCGATGCAATTATTATCAGTCGATAGTTCTCCGGTAGCAGCTGGTTAAGCCTTAAGACTTGCGATTCCGGAGGTAAAGCTGGTTGCTGACCACAGAATTAAACTCGAGAAGTCAAACAGAAATAGCTTGAAGAAGGCTGGTCTGAGAGGAGGTGAAACATCTCTATTGATCAACCAC